GGAATTCTAGGAGTTGAAGTCCACACATCTTAAAGTTGCCAAGGTTGAGAAACACTGCTCTCGCTACAGTATATTTTACTTCCTGGGTGCTGAATGAATGAATGAATGAAAAAGCCATTGGATTTGGATCTCCAATATGCGTGTCATTGATGGTTGCATCTAACCAACTCTTCTTCACTCAGCCTCTTTTTTGATTGCTCGCAGTTTTTTCCCCCCCAAGCATGAAGGTTTTTTCCAATGGCTTTTCCCTTGCATTATATGTCCAAAACATCTAACCTTGTATTTTTATTATCTCTATTATTAGTGCTTCCAGTGAGTTGGTGTTTTACTTCATAGTATTGAATGGTTTAATTTCTCTTGTCATTCAGCAAATCATCACTAGATGGCAGTAAGGAGATATGGAAAACTCCAACTTTTACTTTCTATCTAGTGTCCGTCCATATTTTTGCAGCCCAGATTTGGTAGCTCTAAACGTGGGACCATCCAGATTTTGTGGTTTAGAAACTGATAGAGATTAACTCGTCTGAACAAACATTGAAGGTGTCACTTCCATCCTGCCGAACACATTTAGACCTCAGGCTTTCCTCCTTTCCTCTTACCAGCATCCACATTGCACACATAATTCAGCAAAAGAATCTTCTCCAGTTGTTTTTTATCAACGAGAGGGTTGCCCTGCGCATCTTTGATGTAAAGTCTTTGAACATCAGACTCTGCTGAGAAAAGAAAGGACGATCAGGAGGTGTTGCCAGAAGCAAAACTAGTGCCGAAGGACAAAGCCTACATTCCCTCGATAAGTTTGCCAATTTTCCCCAAGCCAGAACTTGGCGTCCATCCTAGCTATAATGATTTATGCTCCAGTAGATGCTGGAAGGTCAGAAAATATGTTCAGTTGCTGACTGTGATCTCGCCGTGTGTATCTAAACGTTTGATGTCCATTTACTTCCTTTCCTCATGTAAATTCAGTGCCAACATCCTTTTATCTCTAGACCTTTTTGCTATCCCCACTATTGTAAAACAGTGATTCCAGGCTTCTTTTCTGCTATTCTAAGGTTAGGGAACCTTAGCCAGAAGTCCTCAGCAGGCCCCCTCTTCTTATTTTATTTTATTTTATTTTATTTTATTTTATTTATTTATTTATTTATTTATTTTTTATATTTTATTTTTTTGTTTGATTTCTATAGCCGCCCATCTCAGCAAGGGACTCGGGGTGGCGAACAATCGTAAAAACATAAAACGATTAAAACAGCGACAGCCAATTCTCCCTTCCTTGTGGACTTTTTCTTGTTTACTTATTTATGTGGATGGTACCGTCAGAGGCAGACACTGATTTATTTATAGGCAGATTTCTAGCCCCACCTTCAAATCCCTATGCATTGCTCAGGCCAGATTATAACTTTTAAAATCGGTACATTTTAAAAGGCTTGAAGGATAACAGCCAGTTGAGTGCTAAAGGAAAAAAAAGGGTAAGGAAGAAGGAAGGAAGGACAGAAAATAAGTGATTAGGGTTGAACATGGATTTACAGAGGGGAAAATGAGGAACAGGACCAACAGGACTGGGTAGAGTCATCTGCTGGTAGACTCGAGGTTTGCATTATTTGTACACAAGGCTATCATTTTGACAAACAGGATTATGCTCTTCCTAAACTTTCCTCCTCCCTGGATTTCACCTATTAAAATCTGTTGGTACTCCCTATTATCACATAGGAATCCTGATTCCCTGGCTGGCCAGGGTGTGTTATTGCTGTACCAAAACCCACCTTGCAAATTCTTAATTTTTTTCATCTCCTGTGAAAGCGGCTTCCACTTTTTGACCTTATTCTCAGGATGCTTGAGAATTTCTTCCCAATTTCTCTTATCTTCCCATCATTCCTGGCAGTGTTTTACAGCCTCCTTGCTTTGCTGTATTTCCCCAAAATCCCAAGGGGAAAAAAAAATCGGGAGGGAATTTCTCCCAGGGCCTTGTTCAGTTGGGGAACCCGAGGCAGGCCATGAGACTTCCGGTTAGCAGTGGCCCCTTTAACAACCACAACAAAGTCAGCTC